TCCTCGTTGTCCTTCTGTTTCGTTCTTTATTTTTATTTTGTTGTTGTTACTGCTGCTTTTGTGTGTGGCCTTTGGCCAATTTTCTTATTAAAAACAACAGAGTCGAAATTGTTTACAAAACACAATTCCCAGCAAATCCAGCGCTGCTTACTGGTCTAAACTGTAAATAGAGCGGCCAGTGAAAGTGCGGACAGCCCACACGAGAGTGAAAGAGGCTCACAAAAGGACACAAATCCTTACACCACCACATGCTGAGTCTCTATCTGGCCTGCCTGTGGGCGCTGGTATCGGTATCGGTGTCCGGGTATTCTCTATACCCTGGATCCATTGTCTGGCCATCGCAATTGTACCCCACACCCAAGCCACGAAAGGAAAACGTTTTGTTCGAGGCAAAACCGAGAAGAAAAAATAGTCACTGCTAAACCCATTAAATGTGCCTGGCCAACGAAGACCGAACAAAAAACAATTGGATTGACTAAAATACCAGACAAATTGACTCAACAAAAGGATACCCTAAACCATTCACACTACTATTAAACATGACGCAGCGCAGCAAGGCAAGTGTTCTTTGCCGCTGAGCATACCCTATATCTCAAGTACTGGGTATATTCACACAACGGGAAACGAGGGGAAGAAAATAACATCCTATTTGCTGGACTTGCACTATTTTTATATTGTGCTTGTCCTTTGCGCTGACTTTCACTTTCTATTGAGCGTCTGTCGCGGCGATGTATTATTGTCTGCTGCTTGACACTTGGAGCTGGGCATAAATATTTGGACATGGGACTGATTAGAGCGAGCAATGGGACCAACGGGCAAACCAATTTGCTGCCAGCTACCGAAACTTTAATCGAAAATTGAATGCCATGTTCGGTCTCGAATTGGTTGTCCTGTTGGCAAACAACAACTAAGAGCACTAACATCAATCAAGACCCAGGTTTTTTCCCTTCCATTTTCAACATTTTCTCTTTGACGCTCGACATTGTCAAGGAACTCACTCGATAGGTGCTGGAGTTGAGCGGGTGTGGAACACCTTCGACATCGTCTTGAGCATTATGTTGGACACACGCCAAGTGCATTGCATTGGCTCCAGTTCGCATTCGCTTCTGGCTCCTGGCACCTCCTGGCTCCTCCATTTACCTTTGGCTCTTACATGATTTACTACAACATTTTCCGGAGCCACCCGCAAACTCTGCCTCGCCCGGTAGCTGTTGCCATGTTTGACTTGATTTCGTCTAAATTGAGTTCAGTATCAACAGAAAATACTTCCGCTTCCTACCCTGCCAGTCTGTCAGTGTCCCGTCTCTCGCTCTTATCCCCTCTCCGTCCCTCTCTCTCTCTCTCTATCACTCTTTTGGCTTGCTCTTCTATTTAGTCTGTTGTGTACCTCTGCTTGATTTTGCGTTTTATTTTGAAAGTACCAAAGTAACCCATCCAACAAGTCGCCCTTCCTTGCCTTTCCTTTTCATCCCTCCACCTCTTAACCCCTACACCCATCCAACTTTGTGTGTGTGTGTGTGTGTCGATGTCAGACTGTGTGTTTACTTTGGCATCTCGTCCTAGTTTCTGCTTCTAGTGTTAGATCCAGCGCCAGCACTAGCTCCTGGCCGTAACGCTGCTTCATCATCATCGTCATCTTCGTCTTCGTTGAGGTGTTTGCCGTATTTTTAATGTTTTTTATGTTCAATTTGTTTCAATTTAATGTTGTTTTGCCAGAGATCAGCCAGAGCGCGTTATATTTTGCATGCATTTCAGATGTGTGCACCTTGTATGATAAATGGCATTAAAGGATTTGCGTGAATAGGAAACTCACGGCTAACATTGCATAGTTGGCATAGTTGAAAGAGTTGCCCAAACTTTGCAGGTTAAGCAAGAAGTTGCTGCCGGCTTTTATTTTAGATGATGGCATGGAAGTAATGCTCACAGCAATTGCTTCTTCTGCGCAATATGTACATAAGCCAACTCTACATAAAATCGAAGGACTCGCATGAGAATATTTTGATTAAATATCTAATATTTAATCAAAAAAATTATGCTTGATTATAAATGTATTAAGAATAATTTATGAATAATTTATTGAAGTACTAACAAGCGAGATTAAAATATCTTAGTTGATATATTATAAGCAAACTCTGTATTCGAATAATTGATTGATTATATTGAATAATAGTATCTAGATATATTATATATGCATGTTTCTCTTGCAGAATATATATTTCATTTTGTTGTATTGAACCTCAAAGCACCCATAACGATTGTTAAAAAACATATTCTTACATGATTTTATTTTCTTCTCATATATTATTGACATTTATGTGAGTAAATTATATATAAGCTGTCAATATTGAGCACAATGTGTAATCAATTTCAGATCCCTTCTTATCTACTGTAAACTATGTACTGTGCTAAGTTGAAGATTGATTATCTTTTTACAAATGAAGTGTATCAAGTTATTTTATTTTTTATAATCGCTTTCAGTGCTGACCAACAAAAAGTGATAAGAATTATGTTAACTTTAGGTTTGTTAACGTATCGTTAACTTCTTTTTTATTTGTTGTGTTTATTTAAATTATTATTATTATTCCGCGCACGATTATTAACCGAGTTTTTCTCAGCAATTGAACATATTTAATTTCTTTGGAACTGCGGTGTCAATTGAGCTACAAAAGTACATTTTCACTTATTAACAACAATAATGTTCCACTAAATAGTCGAAAGAAGAAGAAGAGGCAATAAGTGCTTTATTCAATATTTGAGCAAAAGCAAAATTTATGCGTCGACAGCGACTATTTTCAAATGAAACATTAAAATTCCATTAGCGGATGCGTTTCACATAAATTTGGAGACTCCAACCCGCTCCCGCGCGGTCTGGCGATATAGGGGGGCCTTATCGCCCGGGCACCGGGCAAATGACCAGAAATTATGCATTTTGTTTGGTTTAATTGCAGCTCACTGTATTTATTTAGTTTTCTACGTTGGATGGGTTGAAACACTGGACTGCGGCGTGGGGAAGCTTTACTTCACTCAGCTCGCGATAATCGAAAATAATTTATAGAAAATAAATATTTCCACACAATGCGCCGTCGATGGGGAAACACAAAAAAAAAAGAAGAAAACAAGAAAAATACAACAACTTGAACTGCTCCGCTTCCTTTCCTGCCATTGTGCAGTTGTTTATTTAAGTTGTCATTAGAATTGTGCAGCAGCTCCATCTACAGCAGCTCCGCAGCTCTGCAGCTCTGCATCTCTGTCTGCCTGGCTGGCATTGGATTCGTGCATAGGCAGCACAGTCGACGGCAAATAAACTTTTTAAATTATCACCGAGGCGCACTGCAAGTGTGTGCCTCACATGAGGAGCGTTCAGGGGTGGGCCGGGCAACCCATTGGGGCGCGTTCAACCGGGTACCACTTGAGCAGCAGACGTATACGTGGAAATCGCATGGCCATGTGAAATGAAAATGGAGCCCCAACCAAGAAACCCCTTCGATGCCCATGCAGCTTCCACAGCTTCCACGGAAATTCAAGCATCGGTCCGACTGTCTGTCTGTCTGTCCGTCTGATCGTCTGACTGACTGGTTGTCGCTGATTGTTGGCGCCCTGGCAGCCGGAAATAGAAGACGGTCTTCTTGCTTATGAAATTGAACTGTTTATTGGCCATGTTTTGGAAATGATGTTGCAACTGCAAAACAAAACTAAATAACACATGTGCATAAATAATAAATATGTTTCCATAGATTTATAAATGTATATATATATATGTATCTATATATCAACATACGAATAACTGCAGCTGTCAGATTAGCCAGTTGCCATAAAGTGAGAATAACCCGGCTATTATCAAAGTAATAAGTATAAACAAACTATGTGCTTAAGCAAACTGTTTACAATGGCTGCTTGTGTGTCCTGTGTGTGTGTGTCCTGGCCGTGGCTAATGCCTCATATATCACATGGCTGCTTTGGGTTTAGCTGCTTGAGGGACAAAGTCAAAAGCAACAGGCAACGGTAAATGTAACTTTAAAGCCGCTTAAGGCTATAACCAAATGCCATGGCAAACGAAGCAGGTCAACTCACAAACACAAGGATTACTGCAAGCCAGGACAAGGCAAGGCAAGGCCAAAGGCAAACTGAGACAGCTGGTGCCGCCCACTACCCAAAGACAACAAAAACAACAACAACAACAGCAACAATAACAAGCATTCGAGGTGAAGCTGGCTAACACAATGGCCAACACGGAAGGCAATCGCAAAAGCGATTCTGTCAAAATATTTACGATATGGTTCTGGCAATGGCTGTTAAATTGTAAGAACACACACACACACACGCACGCACACACACTCACAAACACATGCAGGGAGCACACGGACATGTTTTGTCGAGTCACACACACACACACACACACACACACACACACTCACCTACTTAGCGCAATTCTCGCAATTTGCCCATAAGATATATATGGATATGCTCATCTTAGCCTCCTACATGTGCCATTATCCTTCGCTGTACGTGTGTGCGTGTGTGTGTGTGTGTTTGCGGCCAAGGACAAAGAGAGTTAGAATGAGAGAGAGAGATAGAGCGAGAGTGAAAAAACAAAATTGATTTGTCTTCCTGTTGGCTTGGCGTAGGCGCTAACCAACACTTGCCGAGCATGCCTTTATCTTCTTAGTGCCTTCCATTGTCATGTAAAATTAAAATTTATGGCTAATTTGTGTGACCGAAGCATTTTTATTTCTCATCGGCAGCGTATCCTTGATAGTTGTTGTTTTTTTTGGGCCATGCCAAGGTTCCGCCTCTTCCAATTTCCAGTTTCCAGGCACTGTCCAAGTTTAGTGCGGAGATCATAAATTTTCGCACTCTTTCTCTTCGATTTTATTGTTTTCGCTGGAATATGGAAAATAGATGACTCAGCTTTAATGGGCTTATCGGCTATAATACCCTTGTTTACTGGAAATAATAAAATCCGATTTAGATCGGCTGTTAAACGAACAAAGCAAAGACGGTTTATTTTGATTTTGTGGAATTTTCGATTTATTTCTGTATTTTATTTATATAAATTTTCAAAAAATCAATTTATTTATATTTTAGTTTATTTTCTTTCATCTAATATGTATAATTGTGCTGTTTTATAAATATGTGTGTTATTATCATGTTTATGGTTGTATACTTTTAAAACTTATTACATTAGATATATGTATGTATAACTACATAATTCTATAGATAAATATCACTATATTTGATTTCGGTTCAAGGTTCTTTCGCTAGATATAACTTAATTAATTTGTTGTTTCGATATTAAAATGCTTGCAGAATGCACAAAAACCTGTACAATCTACACAATATGTATGTATGTATGTATGTATGCATGTGTGTATGCGTGTATGTGTGTGTGTGTGTGTGTATGTGTATCTGAGTCTTTCGTTGTTGAACTAAACAAGAACTTAGAACATAAATCGAGTAACTACAATATGTACTATATACAAAAGCACGTCCAACCGCTGAATGAGACTCTAAATATAAGTTTTGGCAATATAACAATGTACATGGACTAATTGGACTTCGGCTAACTATGGTAAGTGAGTGTGTGGAATTCGAGGATTCGAGTTGATGCAACGCCGAAGCTGATAAGTTCAATGGACTAGACACACACTTTACAAGTGCGTGCCCCCCACGACAAGCTGCATATGTATGTGTATGTGTACGAGTGTGTGTGTGTGTGTGTGTGTGTCAGTAGCACCCTTAACTACCTAAACGTAGCGTGTGATCTGTGAGTAAAAGTCCGAGAGGCAGGATTGCAGTTGAGCAAACGTTGGACGCTCTCCGGGCAGCAGAGCCCAGCAGTAAGCCATGATTGTGAACCTGCAGTGAGAGAGAGGAAGAGCGAGAAGGGAGATAATAGAAAGTAGAAAGAGAGAGAGAGAGAAAGCAATTGCTGCATAAGTATCAAAGAATAGCTCGAATTTCTAAAGCTCTATACTCACAGCTCATCGGGGCAATTGAAGGGCTGTGCGAGACGATAGCCATCCTTTAGATAGTGCTCCATTTCAAAGGGATCCACCTCAGCGTATGGCTGCTTGGCCGATGTGCACAGCTCCCACATGAGCACACCGAATGCCCACGAATCGCTGGCCTCCGAGAATTGCTTATGCTGCAGTGCCTCCAGTGACATCCACTTGATCGGCCGATTCTCGCTGTCCCCCAAGCAATTATAGTCCGCGGGGAACAGATCGCGCGAGAGCGAGCTATCCGAGAGTTTGACGCGCAGCTGATCGTCGATGCTGCGAGAGAGAAAAATTAAAAACAAAGATAAATAAATAAATATATATATAGAAAATGTGTAGAGACATCTTAATACTACGCGGGGCTCAATTACAAAATGCAGCTCCGATAAACGAGAACATTTATTCCAAATTGAGATTGATATTATAACCATAGTTGTTTTATATGATGGCCTAGGATCACAACAGTATATAAGACGATCACCTCGCTCATAATCTGTTTCTACATATCATTACTAGATATATCAGATGAATATTTCATTGATGAGCTGCCATTGATCTACAGAATCGTTCAATACCAATGTAGTCAATGTGATGGCTTTGTCGGATCTCAACCAAAAAATACTGTTTGTAATGTTGTTAATCCAACAAGCTTTGAGAGACTGTAAAGAGGTCTTGAACATCGTCTTGAACAACATCAACTGGCGGTTTTGTATAAATACTAAACTTAATATGAGGCATCCACACATCAAATCTAATTTTTTATATTATTTAATATTATTATTTCAGGGAAAGCTTAGTAGTAAAGCTAATAATAATTACAATATATAAATAAATAATTTTATAGCTATCCCATCTTTTAATGTTTATTTTTCTTCAGTATTGATTGCTTGTGTTAAAATAAAATATTCATAGTTTTAAACTATTCTCGAACTATTTTATTTAATATTATTTTAGCCATAGCTGTCTATAATTGTCTATACAACTTTACGATACTATTATCATTAGGGGCAAAGGAGCTGTTATGTGTTTCTTCTTATTTCTTTGCTACTCACATGCAGTTCCTTGCCGCAATGTCCTTATGCACCACGCCGTGACTATGCAGATGATCCAGAGCCATAGATAGCTGGGAGGCCATCATCACAATCTGAATGGTGGTAACGGTGCGAGCACAGGCCGGATCCAGCAGAAACAGTTTCAGATTGCGTGTGTTATTCAGCGCCGGATAGAGAACAAAGGGCGTTGTGTGATCCTCAATGGACACACCCAGAACGGAGAGTATGCCCGAATGGGAGGCGCCATACAGTAGCATGCCCTCTTGGAGCAGGAGCAGCACTTGCATTTGGCTGGCATGCTGGGCGACCGTCTTGACCAGCACATCCTGGGTGTCGTTGTAGGTGCCGCGATAGACGCGACCAAATGTGCCTTCCTGGAGCAGACTGGAGAGTCGCACGCGACAACGTTCCACGGTCAGCTCGGAGATGCGACGATGAAGTTCCTCTGGCTGCTGTTGCGGCTCCATGGGCACGGCCACCTTGCGAGGTAAACTGGACGCGTGCACGGGACCAATGAGCGATGGCGTCATGTAGGCGGCGGAGCCCATCGAGGATTGGCACGGAGGCTGTGTGTTGAGTCGCTGGAAACTGGAGGTACGCATTGGTTGACCGCCATGCTGATGATGCTGGCGCTTTGCAGCCGCGCCACGAACACAATACGCAATCACCAGCAGGATGCAGACAGCACTCATTGCCACCGTGACGCCCACCACCAGGGTGATTAGACCTGTGGGCGGTGGCAGCACCGTTTCGAGCAGCTGCGGATCGTCAAGATCATTGCCCAACGTCTGCTGTAGCTCTTCCCCGCTCTCGCTGAGCAGACAAATCTTTTTGCGTCGAAATACCAAATGGGTCACATTATTCAGGGCACGATTCAGCATCACCTCCAAGCTGATTGTGATGTCCACCGCCCCGGCACGCAATCCGCTGCACTTAAGCGCCACGGCCCACGTCTGAATGTGTGTAGGAATCTCGCCAATCTGTGACACATTGATCGCCGGTCGCGGCAACATCTCCGGATCCGAGCTGACCACATTGAGACTGTACGGCAGCGGACGACCAGACAGCGACTGCCACGTAAAGGTGACATCCCGCACACTCGATGGCACCGGCACAATGAAGTTCAGCGCATAGTTGTTGATGTGACCCTCCCGCACATAGTACACCTCTGCGGAAACGCCTGAAAAGCAAGAGAATAAAATGATTTTGGTTTAGTTTGTGTTTCATTTAAGCCACATAAGCCACTTAAATTAAATCGAAGATATTTTACAAATTTATTAGAATAGGTTTAAATTCTTAGATCAATAACCAAAAGAGAGAATTGAATGAGTTGCTGGAATGCTTTGCTTACTCCTGTTTTCAGACTGAATGAAAACTGATAGTGAGCCAATTTCAATAACAATTCCTTGTCGATTTAAATTGAAATTAACCTCACAAAATTGCTTAATGGAATCAATTGAGTGTTTGGAATGCTTTGCGTAATATAAAACAAACCAAAAGCTGTTAGTGAACAAAATTCAATTACAATTTTATATGAAATTTCTAGTGAATTTAAATTGAAATCAACTTTGCAAAATTACATAACTGAATAAGTTACTTATAAATAATTCCTTTAAAATTGAAATTAACTGCACAAAATTGCTTAAGGGAATCAACTACTAATAGATAATTCCTTTATATTAAATAAACACATACGTAACCAGGCAAATTCCATCAGTTTGTTACCAATCAGATTGAAATGCTTTGGGATGCGCTTTCCACTCGATAAGTTTGTTTTGAAAAGAACTCACTCGATTCGCAAGAATGCGAAACTCGCTTAACCTATTCAATTCCAGTGCAAACAAACCATTCTCGTTCGTCACGTGCGCCACCCAACAAATTTATAAAACAAACTCATGCACTTTACATGTAAATTTATCTAGATGCAGACGCATATACAAACATGAGAATTGTTTGCTTACAGACTGGGAAAGGGAAAGAGAGAGGGGGATAGACAGATAGAGAGAGAGATAGAGAGAGGGCTACGTTTTGTATAAATAAACATGCGCGGCCGAGTTTAGGGAATTCCTCGAAACTATTTTCGAGTTTATCAGTATCTGTAACTGCATCTGCATCTGCATCTGCATCTGTATTTGTATCTGTATCTGTATCTGTATGTGGATATATGTGTAACAGCAAAACAAACTAACAACAACAAGATTAACAACAACAGCCACTCCTCATGTCGCCAGGTCAAGATTCAGATTCAGTTTTAAAGGAGAAGTAGCAAAAAGAAAAAAAAAGGTAACAAGTATGAATGCGACAGTCGAGAGAGCTCGACTAGAAGATACCCTGAGCCCAGCTATGGAATATACTATTGCATCGATTCAAACAGATATCGATGCAGGGCAATGCCCGGAAAATTAGCGCCAACTGATACCTGAGCAACTTTTTTGTTGAATATACAGAAAATGCTGGCGCCTGCTGATTGTAAAGAGTTCAAAGTATTAATTGTAAAGAGTTCAAAGTATATTATGTGTCAATTGGAATGCTCTGCTTTTAAAATTGTTGCTTTTATAACTTGAAATAAGCTTGAACTCTAGAACTTATATTCCAAATTTGAATTCAGTAACTCTTATGAACGCTGAGATTGGATGGACAGGCGAACATGACCATATCGATTTGGCTATTGATGCTGGTGAAGAATATATAGAGAAACTTTATCGGCTCGGAGGCACTTCCTTCTACCAGTTACTTACTACAGCACAACATTATTACACCCTTCATACCCATTTTTAATGAGCTCAGGGTATAAGAAGACAAACAGAAATGAGCCATGAGCATGTCTGAGATTTGTTCGTTCGACGAGTTGGTTATTATTCTTATTCTTATACTCAACTCAATCTCAATCTCATTGTCGTTGTTGTTGTTGCTGTTTTTTTTCTCGTTTTGTTGAGTTTTATTTGCGGTTTGACCAAAAATCGAGTTAATGAGGCAACGCCAACTGCCGAGAGATGTCTGCCAACGATTGCCAACTCATTTCGTGTGTGTATATGGGTGTGTGTGTATGTGTGTGTGTGTGTGTGTGTGTTTGTGTATTATGGTTGTTTATGTTAATGATTGTGAAAAGTGCAGGTAGTCTTTGAGTAGATTATAAGTAGTTCAAATGATTGCCAGCCAACGACCACACACACTGTGAAACAAAATTGTAAATTAACAGAAACGCCTGCGTTGCATTCAAAAATTGATTATTCTAAACTAAATTGTAAAATTCAAATCGCATATAAAGATTATAACATATATCTGAAGCTTTAAGCCTGTTATTTGGTGCATTCAACTCTGCTGAGCTGCACAAAAAAAGCACAGGAAATAATTTACGAAAAATGGATAAAGCTGACAGAGAATTGTAGAGACAGAGAATTGAGAGAGACTGAGAGGCAGCACGGCACGGGGCACACTTCCTTTGACAACTGGCAATAACAATAAAAATCAGTGAACATGTAGGTTGGTTGACAGAGAACTCTGCGCTTGCCTCAAATGTCTCAACTTGGCGGGCATAAATTGTGTCAGGCATAGACACGTTGTTGGCCCACAGTAGGAGGCAAGCCGAGATGCAGGCATACGATGGAAATGGAGATGCAGATGGATGGAGAGAGAGGGAGAGAGGCAGGGGCAGGGGCAGACAGCGTCGTCGGTGCGACTTCCTCTTGAATGTGCAACATGTTGCACGTTTGTACATGCATGTAGCTGCGACAAATTCCACGCTAGAGTTTAAAAATAGCGCCCATAGCTTAATCAAATGCAGTTAGACACACAGACTGAGAGAGAGAGTGAGCGAGAGAGAAAGGGTGAAAGGGAGAAAGGGAGAAAAGGAGAGGGGGCAAACTGTACAGGCCGCACGCTTCCATTGACCCTTTGACTGTGACTTTGCTTGGCTTAGTGTAGAGGCAGCTATTCGATTCCCATGTCTTTTACATGCAGCAGCAGAAAGGAGGCACAGTTCACAGGTTCATGTGAAAGTTGCCGCTGTGTTGCACTTGAGTGGGGGGATGAGAAGGGGCTACAGTAAAAAAAAAACCGATCTGAATTTTAGAACATCTTCCAGAAAACTAAAAGGTTATTTTTGATAAAATTCAAACCTTTACTTTTAGAAAATATAATTCTTAAAAATGGTTTGAATATGTGAAACTTTGAAATACAAATGTTTGTTAAGGCGTCAAAAGTATGGCGAATTCATAAAACGCAAGGTGATTTTATTTTTGTTGAGTGTAGGCTCTTAGTCGAGACTGTCTTGAAGTGGTGTCGCCGTCATCGTCGCCGTCGTCGCCGTCGTCTACCTTCATGTCACGAGCAAATGTCACTCGCATGTGCCCAGCTCGACGGCTCTTGAACTTTTTTAACCTTTTGTGTGCGCCATGTTCATAACTAGCTGTATATTTTTTTCTAGCAGTTTTTCTTCTTCTTTATTTTTTTTTTGTCGAAATTTTGGTGGGGCGTGCCTGGCAGCTACAGTTTGTTGCAGCAGGAGCAGGAGTAGGAGGACGATAGGTGCCCAGGTACAGAACGTATGTCGAATTTTTCAGAGCGTGCAGTCATGACGTTGTCGTTGTTGTCTCGCTGATGTTATTGTTATAGCTATTGTTATTGTTGTTGCTCTTTTTGTTGTTGTTGTTGTTGTTGCTTGGCAGTATTTTTTAATAGCTTGCTACCGAACCGAGTCGTGACCATTGTTGCAGGCAACAACAAACCAAGTTTAGAGGACTCCCAGGCAAAGGCAAGTAAATCTAGCCAACTAGACAACTGCTAACTCTACGCTAGATACTCAAAAATTGTATTTTTTTTTTTTTTAGCTGTAACTTTGAATGTGGTTTGCCATTTTCTTGTAATTAGCGTTGCAGTTCGTGAAGTTTGTTTTTTTTTTTAACTTTTTTTCTGTAGCTGATGCTGATTTGATGATTTTTGGGCAAAATGTTTTGAGAAGGTTCAAGTTACACAGCAACTGATACATTTCTTCATCTGGTGCAGGGTTGGATTTCTCACTTGCCGGCAACAGCTTTATGTGGCAACTTCATCATCAGCATCATCGTCCTCCTTTGAAGCACAGCGAATTGCAATCGTTGACAAATGATGTGCACGTTCCGCATTGAACTTTGGTGTCCATAGGCAAGTTACGCTTATCTAATGGCTAATATGTCACTTGGCTGCATTTCTGCATTGCTCTGGCCAAATCGAAAAATAAATAAAACAAATGATCTGTTGCCCGGACGGAGGACAGCAGCAGTTAGCCAGGTTGCTATACCCAAAACACCCCAATCTCCCCTCAGGTCACACTCTACTCTCCTCTCTTTCTCTCTCTCTCTCTCGCTCTCTCTCTCTCTTCTAATATGTGTAAGCTTATCACGCACACCAATCTCGCTTACAAGCTTACAGCAAAGAACCAAAACGCCTACCACATGTCAACATTTAACATGTTTTTAAGCTTTGAGCCACGTCTGTATTTCCATCTATCTGCAACATGTATCTACACTCAGGTAAAAGATCGCATTGAAGTTTAATTTGCGCCTGAAAATCGCGCTGAAAGCTAGAAAAATGTTCCGATTTATATAAAAATGTAATAATGTAATTTATTATTATTATGTTTTATTTTATGTTATTAATTTATGTTTTATTTTACTATTTAAATTATTTGGTCTAAAACAGTTCACAGTTCTTGAAAAGGTTTCAATTTAAAATGAAAGTTAGTAATTATATTAATAAAACAAGGCGAAGTTAAATAACAAATATATAATTAAGAGAAAAAAATTAAAATAAAGGGTGCAATAAAACATAAAGAAAAAACACCTTTGGATATTGGACATACTTTTTCCTATAATTTAGTCAAATTTACTTAGAATAAAAACCCCTTTAGAATTAGGTAATCTTTCTTTATATAACAGACGCTAAAAATATGTAGATTTTCTAAATTTTGGGTTTGATTTTTTTTCTGAGTGTATGGCTATATAGCTGTATCTATAGTTATATAGCTAACAGCTACAACTGTTGTTGCCTTAGCCGTAGCTGTATCTTTGCCGTTTGCAGACTCACGTCTTCGTTATGATAAATGATGCGCCTTTTCTTCTTCTTTTTCTTCTTGCTGTTGTTGTTGTTGGTTTTGTTGTTGCTATTTTGCCTAATATTTTGTTCGCTGTTCGGTTTTACTGT